ATATAATACAGTTATGTATTTATATAAATTATTACACAATAATAATAGTATAGTACTTATTAAAAAAAATATTTGTCAAAATATATAGATATATATTTATTATATATAATTTATTTCCGCATTTATAAACTAAAAAATTAATAAATGTATTTTTTCAAATACATTAGACAGGGATATGTAATTATTATTTTTTTTTAAATATATCAATATATTTGGCATTACTTTTCACACTATAATAATAATAATAATAATAATAAAGTAATTTAAATAACTATAAGCGAAAACCTATGATCATTACATAAACAAACAACAAACAAAAATTTTTAAAAAACTTGTCTATCATTATATGTGTTTTATTGTATTATTATAATTATAATTATTATTTTAATTTTATATAAATGTTATTAAATAATTTTACCTTGTTCAATCACTATAATGATTTTATATTATTAAAAAAACTACTGGTATTTAATTGATAATTATATATACAGTACTAAAAATAATTATAGTTTGATTTCAATAATAATAATATTTAAATTTAAAACAAATAATATAAATTATTATTATTATATATTAATAGTACAATAATAGTACAATTTTAGTGCTAAACAAATTATTTGTTTTTTTTAAATTATTTAAAGTTAATAAATTATCATTTTTACAAACCAATAAGCAGCCTGGTTAAAAAATTTAAAAATAATAATACTAATATAAGTTATATACTACTACTATTATTATTATTTAGTAAATATAAAGTATATTGTTAAAATTTTCATTAAAAAAATTAAAAATAAAATAATTTTTAAAATCTATTTTCAAACTATAAATATATTGTACTTGATATATTATTATTATTATTATCTAATTTGATTATGATAAATTAACTATATATTTACACTATAGATTATACTAAATTATTTTAAGTACAGTATATAAATTTATATTTAATATATATATATATATATAATATAAAAATTTTTAGTACGAGTGTACTTTTGTCTTAAAAATATTTTATTTTTAGTATTATTTGTATGTTTGAATAAATTATTATATAATTTTAACCTAGTAGCATTAAGCATTATAAATATATATTTATCATTGACAGTATTGTAGTCAAGTAGCATTAAAGTATTTATTTAAATATTTATTATATTAAATATCTATATATATAATAATAATTTATATATTAATAAACTGTATAATATTATCAAATCCTATTAGTACAGTTGTGCACAAATATTTACAATAAAATTAAAAATAATTATAATTATATAAAATAAATGTGATTTGTATGAATATGTTAAATATATTGCAAAATAAAATTTTAAATAATTTTTTTAAATAATAAAAAGCAATTATCAATAGTCACATTAGCAAACATATGTAGAAAATTGACAAATAATTATTTTATTTTTTTTGTTTTTTTTTTGTTTTTTTAGTGTTAATCACATTTAATATATATGAATAAATATAATTATTAATTAAACTAATGAGTTGTTGTACATTTAGATTAACAAATAATATATATATATATATATTTTTTTGAACAAAAATTATTTACATAAAAACACATTTTACTAAATAAAATAAATTATTATTATTATAAATTACTAAAACTAAAATTAATTATAATAATAATTTTTTCAATATTACTAAACTGGGTGCTACGATTCTAAATGACCTTGTCAATTTATATATAAATATATAAATATAATATATTTTATTTGAACATTGATAAAAAAAACTACCTGTGCATTGATGGTGTACCTCAAGCTATTGATTTTTTAACCTAACAGTGCGCTTAAATTAAACACTATATTACAAATAATAATATAATGAAATAATTATAATCACATTTTATTTAACAACTAATTTTTTTTTAAATGTGTTTAAATAATATTTTTCATATTGAAAATTTACTATACAATTGTTGCATAATTTTTAATATGATATATATATATATATATATATATAATGTATTAGTTAATACAAAAAAAAAATAATTATAATACTAAATTATTTGATATGTATTATAAATTTAGATTTTTATTTTTAAAAAATATATATATATATAATTATTATCAATGATAACATAATTTGTAATATTAATAAACATGTATTTAATTGCAGAGAGAGAGAGAGAGAGAGAGAGAGAGAGAGAGAGAGAGAGAGAGAGAGAGAGTAATAAAATTTTTTTAATTATCATTAATTAAAACATTTATTATTCAATATATTATAAAAGTTTCCATTTATATATAAAAAAAACTTAATCTATTTCCTCTCATTAAATAATTTTGATTTTTTGTAATAAAAATATTAATATTCAAAAGTAATATATAATTTTTAAAAAAAATACTATTAGTTATTACTATTATTTCACGACTAAATCACATGAAAATTATTATTATAATAATAATAATAATTCAATAATAAATTTTTGAATGAATATTATCAATGAAAATATTTTTCTTTAAACTTTAGATTTTTTTTAATTATTTTTAATAATTAATTATTTACGTCAATACTATTTACTATAATTTAATATATAAATTATATATATATTTTTTTAATAGACATCCGGTAAATACTGATATATAAAATATATTAATAAAAAAAATATAGATATTATTGACAACAATTTATTACTATACAAAAATTGCACACGTGTTTTAATTTAATTATTATTAGTGTATTAAATAAATCGGGGAAATTACCCTGGTTTATCTAATTAATAATTTATTTTATATTTTTTAATTAATTAATTAATATTAATAGTATTAATTTATAGTAGTATTTATAAATTATTTTCTGAATGAAATAGTATAGTAAATGATTAATAATTTTTTCGTAATATTTATTATTAGTATTACTATTTAAAAAAATTTCTCAAAAATTAAAAGTTATCAATAATTATAATCAATTTATTTTTTAAAAAATTTTTAAGTACATATTTATAAAAACTAGTATGTTCATCCGGTTAAATTTTAAAAAATAAAAATCATTATGCACAATTTACTATATTTACTTAATATAATTCAGTATATAATTATCAATATTTTAATTTTTTTAGAAAAAATTGATTGATTTATTACTCACTAATAAATAACTCATTAAAAATTTTTTGGTGTAAATAATTATTTGTTTAGTTATAAAAATTTTTTTTTAAATATTAATTTTTATTTGTTTGTTTGTAAATAAAATAAAATAAAATTTACAGTAATAATTAATAATAACAATTATAATTAAATTAATAAAATAAAACTATTATAACCATAACTTTTAAATTAACATTAATAATAATAATAATAATAATAATTCATAATATTAAAGCATCAATGTTGATTTAGGCACTTGTAGCTAAAAATTTTTTTAACAATTTAAATTGTATTAATAACTAACTACAACTGTATAATTAAACAGTATACAGTATATCACACACACACACACACACAGTTAGCTTAAACATAATTAGCTTTAAGCACAGCACAGTTTACCGATAGGGAACCTGTAGTTAGTAACCTATTATATAATAGTTATTATATAACAGCCTATTTTTGTTTAGCGGGTTTCAGCGCCCACCTAATACCAGCATACAAGCTATAAGGTAGGCCAACGAGCAGTGCGGCCGCCGGACCGGCCATACCGACCAAACCCAGTGTAACAACAGTGGCCAACGCATCGGAACCCGTTTCTATCGTCCAATTCAGGCCCGAATTGATTTCGAAACGTTTCAATACAATCGCTTGAAACTCAATCAGATAGTCGATGGTAGGGATGTCTACCACCGCACCCGCATATCTCACTGATGATGTGGCAGCTAATCGGTCGGCATAGTCGCGGCCAATACGCGGAAACACCTCATTGTGCGCGTGTATCCATTCGTTAGATCCGTTGAACATCCGTTTCCACCAGCCTTTCGACTCTTTAGCTGCCAATAGCTCGGTCTCGTATCGATAGACGGCCGATACCAGTGCCACTAGATTGGCCTCTTGAATACCGTAGTAGTTGTCAATATGTTTGTCCAATAGTTGGCCAAAATCATAGTCACCGCCGTGTTGTTTGGCGGCGGCGGTGGGTTTCAACGCTTGCTCTCTAAACCACGACTCGACACGTTTCCGGTGTACAGCATTCAGATCCCGGAGCTCGCGATCCAAGCCTTCCAATTTCGGATCAACAGCTAAACGGTCGACCATTTGACGTATACCTATGCGGACGGCTTCGGTATACGAGTCTAAACAGTTACGATAGAGTCGTGCATTTCGGGCAAACCTATCGTATTGGTCGTTAAGTTTGTCTTTTAATTCCTGCCGTCGGCTGTCAACTGCTGCTGCTGTAGCGTCCAAACGGTCGTCCGATTTAGACCAATGCCGATAGGGATTATCAGTTGTGAAAAACTCGCCCAACAATTGGCCGACAAGTTCTGTGTGTCGGCTATCGAGTTGATCAATGCTCAGACCGTTATAGACATACTGTTGATAGCAATCGCCAATCGTTTGCTGATATCTATCAATCAATTGTTGAGTCAATTTGTCCGCAAAATCAGCGGCCAATAAGGACATCTCGTTCGGTAACTTTTCCAATCGATTGGTAGTAGTAATTACGTCGAACAGTGGTCGCAGTGCCCGATGAAAGTCCCGACCATTCATCGGCTGACCAGTTGTTGCCGATATTTTCAGATCACTGTTGGTGGTGGTGGTGGCGGCCATTGTTAGCTGACGAAACTCGCGTATATACTTCATATAACTGTCCCCGACATCATCACTGGTATAGTATGTATCCATATCGTCAAGCATACCGGTGCGCATACGATCAGTCGGTTCGGGCATCAGATAACAATCAATACTCTTGAAATATTTGCTAAATTTTCCTAGATTAATTTTTGCATCCCTGTTCAATGTCTTCAAATATTTATCGCTATCCAACCGCCCGTATCGAAACTCCCGGTCGTTAACCAAATTACTGGCCATTAGTATGAGCTTATCGTTCAACGACTGTACGGTTTGGGCTAATGTTGTGTACAGTTATAGTACTTGTTCGTGATATTCATTGAATGGATGTCTAGAAAAAAGTTAAAAGTTATTTAAAATTAAATAAATTAATTAACAATTAATTTGATTGAATACCTGAGATAATAGATGAAATGCGAGGACATCATCGATGATAATACATATAACTGTTGATAAATAAATTGATCGGAATTGGGACCCAATATACCCTCGACGTCAACAATAAACACATTGTATAGTATATCACTATCGGGTCGTTCCCTAACAGGTATGGGAACCGGTGTTATCCAAACACCTTTAGTATTGGCCTGAAATGTTTTACCCGATGTTTCAAATATTTTTACCAAACGTTTGTTTCCTAGACTTAAACTTTTTTTTTCGTCCTCTAAATTATTATTATTATCTGTAATAGTTGTTTGATAGACGGGTTCACAATTATCATACAATAGACTGGCAAACGTTGATTTGCCGATTCGCGGTGCACCGCATATGACCAACACTTTCACCGGTTTGTCGGCCACTTGTGGATTGTCGGCAAAAATCTTGTCAATAGCCGGCCAATCGGCTACTAGTTTTGGGTCTTTACTGCCGGCGCCGCCGTTGTCCACAACTTTGAATATTTGGACACTTTTCAGACCCTCTGGACCGCCATATTTCCAGCGACTGCTACTACCCGTAACTGTAGTGCCGACGGTATTGTCGGTAAAAGACTCATTGCTACCGACTTTCTGCTTGATTAGCGGTACGGCTGCCCCGCATAATACCCGGCCAGTGATGGCCATCAGCCGTCCCGATCGGGTGAATAATAACCGCATTTATGATATACTGTATATATGTATCACAAAATTGTAACTAAATTTAGTTTAAAGTTTTTAAACTAATAATAATAATTGTAATAATATTTTAATTAAGTTTTGTATGTAATATTAGTTATAAATAAATTATATTACCTAGGTATAAATGTTTTTTTTGGTTGATGTTGACTAGATGATTTTTATTTTATCACGAACTCCTGAAAGGAGTACGTATCTGAATTCTATATGTCCTTCCGTCCTTCCGTCCGTCCGCTTTTTATTGAATTTTTAAATTTTGACTTCAGATTTGAATTAAGCATCAAAAATAAGGTATAGGGGATCAGCATTAAAATTTTGATATATCATTGGGAACATAGAGAAAATGGCGGCCAAAGTGAAAAATTTAGGTAAAAATTTTTGAGTATAGATTTGAATAAAGCATCAAAAACAAGCATAAAAAATATGGTTTAAAATTTTGATATCTCTTCGGGAACATGGCCGCAAAAGTACAAAAAAAAGAAATTAAATTTGAAAGTATAAATTTGAATAGAGCATAAAAATAGGTAAAGAATATCAGTATTAAAATTTTGATATATAATCAGAGGTTTTAGAAAATCCATAAAATATAAGTAACAAAAAAAATATATTGAGATTATAAAAAAAGTTTAGAAAAGTCAAAAAATATATGAGTAATACAAACAGTACTAAATATTCAGAGATTATAGAAAAGAACAAAAATATATAAGTAATACATACAGCCAGTCATGAGGAGCAATTGACACGCCACAGATCATATTAGTGCTAAATATGTAAAGGTGAATTTGTGAATTTTTATTTAAAAAAAAATATTGTTGAGACATAACTTGACAGTGACATTGATTTAATAAAAAAATTTATTCCAAATAGTAACATTTAGTATATAATTTTTTATTACCATAACAATATTTATTTATTAAAATAAAAAATTCAACTCTATGATTGGATTATGTTCAATTGCTCCTCATGACTGCATACAGCATTAAATATTCAGAGGTTATAGAAAAGAACAATAATATATGAGTAATACATACAGCACTAAATATTCAGAGGTTAAAGAAAAGAACAATAATATATGAGTAATACATACAGCACTAAATATTCAGAGGTTAAAGAAAAGAACAATAATATATGAGTAATACATACAGCACTAAATACTCAGAGGTTATAGAAAAGAACAAAAATATATGAGTAATACATACAGCATTAAATATTCAGAGGTTATAGAAAAGAAAAAAAAATATATGAGTAATACATACAGCACTAAATATTCAGAGGTTATAGAAAAGAACAATAATATATGAGTAATACATACAGCAATAAATACTCAGAGGTTATAGAAAAGAACAATAATATATGAGTAATACATACAGCACTAAATACTCAGAGGTTATAGAAAAGAACAAAAATATATGAGTAATACATACAGCATTAAATATTCAGAGGTTATAGAAAAGAAAAAAAAATATATGAGTAATACATACAGCACTAAATATTCAGAGGTTATAGAAAAGAACAATAATATATGAGTAATACATACAGCAATAAATATTCAGAAATTATGAAAAAGAACAAAAAAGATGGTCATAATTAAGAAAAAACAGTCATTATTAAAATTTTAAAATGAATCTTATTGGCTAATAAAATTTTAAAAATAGTATAAATAGAGTTGTAATTTTAAGAAAATTTCAGTTAATTTCATTTTAATGAAATGTGAACATTAGTGAACAGAAATTACAATAATGTAATATTAATAAAAATATTATATTAATTTGTTTTGTGTAATAAAAAAAAATTTTAAAAGTGCAAAACTAAGATTTTATTTTAATAAGAATAAAATTTTAAATATTTAGTTAAATATAATAAGTTAAGTTATGTAATCACGAACTCCTGAAAGGAGTAAGTACTGAATTCTATATGTCCTTCCGTCTGTCTGTCTGTCTGTCTGTCTGTCCTTCCGCATTTGATTGAATTTTGAAATTTTGATTTCAGATTTTGATTAAGCATCAAAAATAAGATATAGGGGATCAGCATTAAAATTTTGATATCTCATCAGAATATAGAGAAAATGGAGGCCAAAGTTAAAAAAAAATTTTAAGTATAGATTTGAATAAAGCATCAAAAACTAGCAAAGGAATTAGCATTAAAATTTTTATATCTCTTCGGGAACAAAGAGAAAATGACGGTTACAGTACAAAAAATTGAAAACATTATAAATATAAATTTGAATAAAGCTTCAAAAATAAGATATATTGATTAGTATAAAAAATTTAATATCTTTAAGAACGTATATAAAATGGCGGCCAAAGTACAAAAATTTTAAAATTAATATTTAATACTTGGATTGGAATTAAACATTAAAAATAAGTTATATGAAATTAGCAAACAAATTTTTATATCTTAAATAAAATAGATAAAATAAAGCTTGAGTTAATACTCTTTAAATTTAAGTTATATTTATAGTAAAAATAATAATATATTTTAGTTATTTGATACTCTCTATGAATTGTTTGAGTTTATTTTGTCCTACTGTCATTTGATACCCCACATTACTAAGGTTGAATTTATTTTTTGCATATTTAGTCATTTGATACCCTATATGAATTGTTGTTTATTTTTTTATACTGAATCATATGATACCCCACATGACTAAAGTTTAGTTTATTCTGTCATAATGAGTTATTTGATACCCTACATGGCTATAGTAAAGTTTATTTTTTTATACTGAATCATTTGATACTCCACATAACTAAGGTTGTTTATTTTTTGCATACAGTCATTAGATAACCTATATGAATTGTTGAGTTTATTTTGTCATACTGAGTCATTTGATACCCCATATTACTAAAGTTGAGTTTATTCTGTGATACTGAGTGATTTGTTACTCCACAATGTGGAGTCCACATCCATGTCATACTTAATCATTCGATTTTAATTTAATTTTTAATTTGGATTAGGAGTTCGTATGGAAATGCTTTCTAGCATTCTCAACTGGTTTTATTTATTTATTTAATTTTTTTTAAATAAAAATAATTTTCAATAATAATAATAATAATTAATTAATAAATTAATGTTGATGCAACATAATATATATATATTTTTTATAATTAAACTGTAAATACTATATACTTATACATTGTATACTAACAAAAAAAATGATCATGATAATTTACTATATTTATTTATTTTTAAAAAATACTATGTACAATATTTTATTTTATTTTTTAAATTTCAAAATGTATCATGTGTGTGTTTTGATTTATCAAATACAGTTTATTTGCTAATTTTTCTATGAAAATAATTTGTATTTATTATATATAACACCTAATACGTTCAATATACTGCTTTTTAAGTTATCTATAAAAGTACTAAATATTCGATTAGGTAGTTAAAAAAAAGTTTATTTAACTTTAAATAAATATTTATTGCAACATATTAAAAATAATTTATATAAAATAAGCGCAATTTTTAAAAAAATTTATCAATATAATTATTTATTTTTAATAATATTTCATATATTAGTAAAACTATATATATTTTTCAAAAAAATATAATAGAATTTTTATAATTACTTTTTAAAAAAAATTATTTATATATTATAATTAAGTTAACATTTTTTTGCAATATATATATATAAACTTTAAAATTTTTGTTAATAATTATTATTTTTATTTATATTTATAAAATATTATTTGTTTTTTATTATTATTAATTAACAATTATTTTTTAAAATAAAAATATATTATCCATTATTTTTATCTAAATTATTATTATTAATTAAATTATTAGTTATAGATTGTAATTGATATTCAATTAATGATAATCTATTAGACATGTCATTGATTTTCCTATTAGTTTCCTGAATACCTGTCCTAAATTGTGACTGCAATTCACGTAACTGCTGGCATAATAAGTGCTGTCCAGTTAGATACTGTTCCTCCAGATTCATATCGTTGTCATGATGTAGTAATAGATTAGGTTCACCACCACAACCATGTCTACAGCCTGTTGTGTTGGTACAGGTGCCGGTGCCGCCGGTAGTGTCGATAAACCGGCGCCTGGCAACCAAATACCTGAGCCATAGGATAAACTTGTAGGCAATCAGCTCCTGGCGGTTCAATACACGATACGATAGTTGTTTAGTTGATGTTTGAACTACAGTAGGTATGTGCTGCTGTTCCTGTTGCTGCTGCCGGTGCCGATGCTCCAGTACATGCCTGCGCCAATAGTTTTGAATTAGTCGGGCTGCCGGTACCCGACGTTTGCCCAGTGCCTGGTGTTGTTGATGTTTTTCTACCTGTCCACCCCCACCCCCGAAAAAAAACAATTATAATAATAATTGATTTTTTAAAAGTATAATCTAATTAAATATATGTATTAATTGCCATCCAAAAAAAATCCAACTAACCTTAAGTGCCAAACCAGTGCCCAATATGCCAGCCGGTAGGGCATATATGGACACACCCACTACAATACATAAGCTGGCTATACATTTGCCCAGTGGAGTTTCTATATTAAATATATATATATATTATAAAACAACATTAAATTATTATAATATTACTTTATATATAATAATAATAAAAAAAAATTAGTTACGCGGTACTATATCGCCATAGCCAACGGTGCTCATAGTGATCAATGACCACCACATAGCATCGGGTATGGACTTAATATGTTGATTGACATCACGTTCAGCAAAATAAAACAAAAACGACATGGCCAGTAGGGTCAACAACGATATGTACAGGGTAATAGCCAGGTGCACACGTTGATCCCATACGACATTGAATATGAGACGGCTTTCGTAGATCTGGAATATTTTCAGACCCCTGAGCCCAATGGACAGTAACTGGGCTTTCGAATGAAAATGTAGTACCGATGCCGATATGACTATCACTAGCAGATCCAGTAGTCGATACGGGTGTAGTAGATACCGGACTCGACCCTTGAGCCGACGATATTTCGGTATTACCGAACACGACCACAGTCTAACCGAAAACTCGGCGGTCAATATGATCAATACGAATATGTCCAATAGAAATATGTAGAATTCAATGTCTAGGTTATTATTTTTTAAAATAAAAATTTAAATAAAATAAATTAGCATGTTTAAAATTTTTTTTTTTAAATTTAAATTACTTGTCCTATTAAGTAGTTTTATTTGTATGTTTTTTGTGTGTGTTTGTTTGTGTGTGTATGTGTGTGTATGTGTGTGTATGTGTGTGTATGTGTGTGTATGTGTGTGTATGTGTGTGTATGTGTGTGTATGTGTGTGTATGTGTGTGTATGTGTGTGTATGTGTGTGTATGTGTGTGTATGTGTGTGTATGTGTGTGTATGTGTGTGTATGTGTGTGTATGTGTGTGTATATGTGTGTATGTGTGTGTATGTATGTGTGTATTGAGGTCTCATTATAACTATCAATATTTTTTCATATACATACTGTAGTACACTAAACATTTTCAGAACAAACTCGGTACTTTTTTATTTATGTTACTTATGTTTTTTATGCTACATTTGATAATTATAAAAGATACCATATTGTCATGTGTTGTTTAAAAAAATGCGACATCATTTATGTAATTATATAATTATTTAATAGAGATATAGTTACACAAAAAACATATGTAATATACATAAAAAGGGCCCGAGTCTTCGGTAGATCATAATCCGTGTATATGTAACACATAAACATACACACACCCACAATAATATATCAATAGTTTAATTATAATAATAAAGTTTATATATAACTTATTTATAAATAATTATAATTTATTTATTTAATTAGATTAAAATAATCCTATAGTTTGTTGTTTTATTTAATATAAGTGTTACTTAATATTTGATAATTAATATAATTATAAATTTTTCAATTTGAGACTTACCATAAACTGATGACACAATTGTCAATATTAGACACAATGATACTAATAAACAGATAACAATTTGATAGCCAAATGCTGTCCATGTTTTAGGTGATTGAAAAAAATAATAGACTTTTGATTTTAGTTTCAAACAATTTTTATTATTATTATTATTATTATTATGTTTACTGCTAATCGATGTTTTTATGTTATAAATATTTTTATTTTTATTGTTAGTTATAAACATTATTATTACTATTACTATCGATCACTTATATTAGTTAATTGATTGTTAAGTAATAACTTATCAAATATATATATATAATTAATTAAATTATATATATATATATATATATTATAATGTCATCTAGATAAATTGTTGTTATTGCTAAAAAATGTACTTTGTATTAATTAAATAAAAAAAAATATTTTATTATTTTTTTTGATATTTATTTAATAAAAAAAATATATATAAATAAATTGCTGCAATTATCCATGCCAATCATATATTTATTTTATTGATATTTTATTGTTGTTTTTTATTAAATGTATAATAATATATATATTTGTTATTATTATTATTATGATTTTTGTTATTAATCACGTAAAAAATTTAATTGATAATTAAGTCAAATAATGTTTGGATTTAATTTTTTTTGTGTTGCAATTAACTATTTTTTTAAAAAAATAAAATTTTATCGATAATAAAAAAAAGTAATAATCATATATATATAATCAATTAAATCAATCAAATCAATTAGTATCACTTTGCTAGTGATATATTTATTAAATTTATTATTAGATATTTATTTGATTTTTTTAATATTTTTAAAAAAATAATGTAAATTATTATTCAAATATAAATTGTATTAATTTTAATTAAAATTATTTGAATATTATTTGTTATTGTTTTAGTTGTGCTAATAAACTTAAGGTTAAGTTATGATAAGTTAATCAAACAAAAATTAATTGTAATTATTGTAAAAACTGTTTATTTTTGTAAAACTCAAGGTCGTTTATTAAAATAATTAAATAAAATTATTATATTTTTTATAAATAACTTATTTTTATTAATTTTTAATCTATAATATTTATTAAATTTTTTATTTTACATATTATTATTAGTAGTAGTAATAGTAACTATTTTTTTATATCTAAATATTTTATATCTAAGCAACAGAAGTTTTTTTTAAATATAAATTACTTAATCATATCATAAATAAATTATTTTTATAAAAAAGTTAAATTATTAACAATTTAATTAGAAATTTATAATTATTAATTATCATTTTAAGTAACACTTATAAAATAAAACAACAAACTATAGTATTATTTTAATCTAATTAGTTATATATATATATACTGTATAAACTTTATTATTAGTAAACTATTGATAAGTTATTTTATAAATAAATTTTTTATGTATAACTATTAAATATAAGCTGCAAAATATTATTTGCATTACATTATTAAAAATTGATAATAAAATTAAATATAAAAAAAACAATTATAATATTTTTTGTAAAATTAATAAATTATAAACAAAAATTGAATTTGATAAGTATATACAGTATTTGATTTTTTTTTTATAAATTTTAGCTAAAAATCTATATATATATATATATATATAAACTTTAACTCTAATATATATAATTCTAACAATCAAATTAAAAATATATAAATAATAATAATCAATATTTTGTTGTTATAATAATTTTTTAAACAATTTAAAAATCAAATACAATATAATGATATACATAACTAATGAATTAAATAAACTATAAAATATTTGTAAAATATTATCACTTAAACCATTACCGACAGTATATATTAGATTTAATATCCAATTGTATGAATCATTATATAGATATTTAATAGCAGCAAATATACCGAAGCCTAGGGTACAGGGAATGGACAATAAGGGACCGGTAGTTGAGACTACTATACCAGTCGCGGCTAGTATTAGACAGTCGACCAGTTTGTCGCCATAGTAGCCGTATGTCGACTGAGAGGCCAACAGTTTATCAGTTATATTGATAAACACTTGGTTATAGTCAATGGCCGGACAGTCAACCACACCCGAGTACCTGGCGATCTGATCCCGTATACGTTGATCTAATTGGTCCTGAATAGCGGGAAACACCTCCTGATGGGCGGCCAACCATTGATTATATCGGCCCAATATAGCTGACCAAACACTAGATTTTTCGCCCATACAGGCCATCAATTGAGTCTCGTAATTGTCGACCTGAGCCAATAGTTCCGATACTATCGGTTCATTGGCCTCGAAATAGTCGTCCAATGTAGCCAACAATTTGTCGGCCATATTATAGTCCAATATATTTAGTTTATACACATTTTCTGTATAGATATTTTCAGCATTTTTTCGTAGCAAATCGTTAACATCCCGGAGCTGTTGCTGATTGTCTCTTACTTTTGTTGTACCAGTAGTTAGTATAGAGTCAAACAAGCCATGTATAGCCTGGCGCATACCAGTGCGATACTGATTGAAACACTGGCGATAGATTAGACCGTTTTCATAGATGGCCGACAACTGGCCATTAAGTTTGTCATAATATTTATATTGAAAACTATTAGGACTGTTGTCGTCTATCGCCGACTTTGACCACAATTCATACGGATTATCTGTTTTATTAAATTGTGTCAACAATTGTTGAACTAAATCTTGGTGTCGGATATCTAGTTGTTTACCGTTTATTAAACAGTTATAGACATCAAACAAACAATCGGCAGTTGACTGATGATCGGCATATTTTCTGACCAGTTTGTCGACCAGATTGCGGTAATGATCAGTGGATAGCATATCCATTTGATTCGGTATTTTCGATAAACGTTTGCTTGTAATTAAGTCAAACAACGGCCGCAGCGACTGATGAAAGTCCAGTCCTCTCATTCGGTAGCCTTTAGTCGATGTTTTCAAGCCGTCAAAACCGCTGGCCATTGTCTGCCACCGAAAATCGCGTACATATTTCATGTATTGCTGTCCAATATCAGCCATTGTATAGTGTGTCAGCTGGTCGTCCAACATACTGGTGCGCATAGGTTCGGCCGGTTCGGGCATCAGATAACATTCAATTTTTTTGAAATATTTCGTAAACTTTCCTAGATTAATTTTTGCATCCCTGTTCAACCGATCCAGATATTTATCGCTATCTACCCGTCCGTAACGGAAATTGTTTTCGTTAATCAAATTACTCGGCATTAATATGAGCTTATCGTTCAACGACTGTACGGTTTGGGCTAATGTTGTGTACAATTGTAGTACTTGTTCGTGATATTCATTGAATGGATGTCTAGAAAAATAAAAATTTATTTAAAAAATAGTTAATTAATTAATTTGATTGAATACCTGAGATAATAGATAAAATGCGAGGACATCATCGATGATAATACATATAACTGTTGATAAATAAATTGATCGGAATTGGGACCCAATATACCCTCGACGTCAACAATAAACACATTGTATAGTATATCACTATCGGGTCGTTCCCTAACAGGTATGGGAACCGGTGTTATCCAAACACCTTTAGTATTGGCCAGAAAATCTTCATTTGATGTATTAAATATTTTGACAATATTATCAATACTTATTAAATCATTATTATTATTATTATTGTCACTATTTTGATAGATCGGGTCATTGTTTAGATACAATAGACTGGCAAACGTTGATTTACCGATTCGCGGTGCACCACATATGACCAACAATTTGAGCGGGTTGTTGGCCACTGCGGGATTGTCGGCAAATATTTTGTCAATTTCATCCCAATTGGCCACCAGTTTCGGGTTATCTATATTTAAGCCGTTGTTGTCATAGACTGTAAATATCTGAACACTTTTCCAACTATTAGCTACTATGCTATCACTAACTAAAGCACTGGTAGTTTTTACCGGTGCGACCGTCAAAATAATTATCACTACTACTAATACTAAATATTTTAAAAATGTAGGCATTATTTATTATAAAAAAATAAAATTCATAATTTTTTATTTATCATACATTAATAAAAAATTTTCTAATAAAACATTAAATACTAATAATAATATAAAATAAAAATCTATTAGTAAAACAAGTTTATTATCAGTATTTTCATGGAAATTATATTTTATTTTATTAATCAATTTGTAATAACGCAATGTTTTTATATAAATATTTTTTTTAATATATATACTGTATATAAACTGTAGTTTGTTTATACAGTAAAAAAATTTATCTTTATATATAGATATTAAATTGAAATTACTTATTAAGTATTATTACTCTATTTGTGTTTGTGATTTGGTTTTTTATTAATATTAATAATAATTATTTTAAAAAAACTATTTGAAAAAAAACATATAGAATAATCTTAATAACACTAATGGGGTTTCGAACTCACTATCTATAATATACTCAGTATATACATGTATATACCTGTATATGTATATTGAGCTATACTACAAATGTATATACAAATGCGCCAGCGCTGTGCAATTAAAATAACTAAAAAAATTTTTTATTAAATAAATAGTTGCATAATATTGTAAACTATTGAAAATATAAATCACTGATAGCATTGCACTATTGAATAATGTTAGTATAAATGTTAGTATAAAAATAAGATATACTGTAAATAATATTATATGTATAATACAAATAAAAATACTGTAATATCATTGCATTGAAGAGAGAGAGAGAGAGAGAGAGAGAGAGAGAGAGAGAGAGAGAGAGAGAGAGAGAGAGAGAGAGAGAGAGAGAGAGAGAGAGAGAGAGAGAGAGAGAGAGAGAGAGAGAGAGAGAGAGAGAGAGAGAGAGAGAGAGAGAGAGAGAGAGAGAGAGAGAGAGAGAGAGAGAGAGAGAGAGAGAGAGAGAGAGAGAGAGAGAGAGAGAGAGAGAGAGAGAGAGAGAGAGAGAGAGAGAGAGAGAGAGAGAGAGAGAGAGAGAGAGAGAGAGAGAGAGAGAGAGAGAGAGAGAGAGAGAGAGAGAGAGAGAGAGAGAGAGAGAGAGAGAGAGAGAGAGAGAGAGAGAGAGAGAGAGAGAGAGAGAGAGAGAGAGAGAGAGAGAGAGAGTCTTAAACATCAACTCCGATGACTAAACAGCGGCGGCGATGCTATTAAAGTCAATTATCTGGTCAACAATACGTTTGGATTTTTAAAATTGACCATGATGGTAATTATAAAATGGTTAAATATAAAATTGTAATAGGTCATTTTAAAAAAAAAAAATAATAATTGTAATAATAATATAAAGTCGACTGTTTTTTTAAAAAAAAATTGTTCAAAAAAATGATAGTCTACTACAATATATTTGCCCAATCATGCGATTAATTGTTTAAAAAATGACCTAACTTATTTATGTTTATCAATATTATCTATACAACAATAAATGGTACATGGTCACTTTTAAAATTATTGTTTGACCAGATAATTGAAAATTAATTAATAGCATCGCCGCTGTTTAAGACTCTGTCTATGATTGCATTATTAAATAATAATGTTTATATAAATTATTTTATATATATAATCAAGATTTATATATACAAATAAAAATACTTTAAGTATATCAATGGCATTACATTATTATCATTACTATAGAAATTGTTGAGAAAAAATACATATATATATATATATTAATATATCTTAGTTTTGTGTTATTTTATTAATAAAAAAATATTTTTTTTTTAATATGAAACATTTAACATTGTGTTAAAATAAAATAAAGTTTAATAGTTTTTTTTAAAAAAAATTAAATATATTATAATAATTTTGTTGTTAGTATTGTGTTGTGTAAAATGTCTAAAATTTCAATTAATTTACAATTAATACTATTAGTAATTATTGTTACTATTATTATTACCAAACATACTACCGGTGCTATCAATAGTGATGCTAACTATAATCAATGGATATATGGGGGTCCAGTGGGTCTAAAAGGTGTACAAATATTTACAGTAGATGACCAGGGCGATAATCGGGATGATCCGAAACTAGAGGCCAATTGGCCGGAAATTGACAAAATATTTGCCGACAATCCCTCAGTGGCCAACAATCCCCTGAAATTGGTGGTCATATGTGGCGCTCCCCGTATCGGCAAGTCTACTGTTGCCAGTCTATTGTATCACAATAATGACCCGATCTATCAAAATAGTAATAATGATATTAATAGTGATAATAATAAACTATTTGCTAAAAATATTAGTAAAATATTTGAAACATCAAGCGATGATTTTCTGGCCAATACTAAAGGTGTTTGGATAACACCGGTTCCCATACCTGTTAGGGAACGACCCGATAGTGATATACTATACAATGTGTTTATTGTTGACGTCGAGGGTATATTGGGTCCCAATTCCGATCAATTAATATATCAACAGTTATATGTATTATCATCGATGATGTCCTCGCATTTTATCTATTATCTCAGGTATTGAATAAGATATTAATTAATTAATTAATTATTTATTTTTTAAAATAAATTTTTATTTACCGGTACTTTTTTAGACATCCATTCAATGAATATCACGAACAAGTACTACAATTGTACACAACATTAGCCCAAACCGTACAGTCGTTGAACGATAAACTAATACTTATGCCCAGTAATCTGGTTAACGAAAACAAGTTCCGATACGGACGGGTAGATAGCGATAAATATTTGGATCGGTTGAACAGGGATGCAAAAATTGATCTAGGAAAGTTTACGAAATATTTCAAAAACATTGAATGCTATCTGATGCCCGAACCGGCCGAACCGATGCGCACCGGTATGTTAGACAACAGTCTCACTCATTATACTGTCGATGAAGTTGGTCAGCGATATCTGAAATATATACACGATTTTCGTTGGCAAACAATGGCCACTGCGAATGGTCTGAAAACATCGGCTACGGGTCGCCCGATGAGAGGACTGGACTTTCATCAGGCGCTTCGGCCACTGTTTGAACTGATTACTAGTAATCGGTTGGAGAAACTACCGAATCAAATGGATATGTTGTCCGCCGATCACTACAGGCGTTTGGCCGACAATTTAGTTCAACAATATCTGGACGAGTCGGTTGTGTTTGACGTATATAACCAATTAGATGACACTCAGATTCAAGACAATCATCAGCGGTTAGTTAGCAAACTGTTGACAAAGTTTACCGAAACTGACAATCCGTACGAACATTGGTCACACAAATCAACGGTAATAAACAGTACCGATAATCCCGATGATGCTAATGATGATCATCGGCAACAATTAGTGACCAAACTTAGCCATCAATTTACCGTAATCTATAAAAATGGCCAATTGTTTCGCCAAAGTTTTGAGGGTTATCGCACTGGTATGCGTTGGCTTATACTTCAATTGTTTGACAACTTAAACAATGATATACCACTACTGGATCACCAGCTCAGGGATGTTAGTGACTTAGTAATAAAAAATCTAACTAAAACTTATAACGACATGACCTATAAAATGGATCAAAATCTAGATTTTGCTGACAAACTGGTCGCCAGAATGAACGACTATTTTCGGGCCAACGACCAGATTGTTACCGAATTGATTGCTAGAGTCAATGAATATAAGACTGAGTTGAAGGCCAGTATCGACCAGAAGTCATTGTTGGCCGGACTGGCCGGACGTTATAATCAATGGCTTGATTCGCACCGTGAAGTATTTCCCGAAATTTATAGCCGATTTGGTGATAAAATTTTAAGTACAATTGAACGGTTCGGCAATGAAGTGGTCGACAATCGGGCGATCAACTATAGTGAAGCTTTCATTGATATAACAAAACATGTGTTTAGTTCGGAATCGGGTCTCGGCTGGTGGTCAGACACATTGATCGACGGTACGTTAGTCGTTGGTGAAATAGGAGCATTTGTAGTATTAGGCCCAGTAGCTGCCGTAAAGGGTTTAGCTGGCCATGTAGTCTATGATGTTGTTAGATATATGTGGAAACCCGATAGTCCAGATACGGGTGCCAATTGATATGTTCAAACTTAATATATTATAACTATGTATATCATATTATATATATATATATATATTTATAGCCTTAAAAATATTTGCTTAAATATAATTGTTATTTACATGTATACACATGTATTTGAATAATACTTATAATTAATTATTTTTTATTTACTCTTATGATTGGCCAGATAATTGCATCAGACCTCTTTTAACGGGTCTGATGCAATTATCTGGCCAATCATAAGAGTAAATAAAAAATAATTAATTATAAATTTATCCAGTCTAAAATTATCTATAACTTTGCCATTGGTCATTTTTATATTAAAAATATAGTTTAATAGATATTTACAAAACATTATTAGTCGGGAGTCTGATGCTGGTCTGATTTTAAGATAGAGCCTATTTTTAGTATTATTTTATATGAAAAAAACTAAAATAAACAAAACAATCAAATAAAAAAATAGATTTAATTGAAATATATTAAATATATATTGATATATTATTTTCTAGATATTAAATTAAATGTACAAAATAAAAAACTAAAAATAAATTTAAAAAATAAGTTTATTAATATTTTTGTTTAGAAAACTTTATTTTTATTAATCAATTAAAATTTATATAACTATTAATACAACTATATTTAAGTTATAATTAGTAAAAAAAAAGCATAGCATAGCATAGTAATAATGTATTACAATATTAGAAATTGATAATTTAATTGATAATAAATCGATAATATAAAAATAAAATCTAATAATATATATTCAACTATTTTTTGTGTATTATATTGGTTATTTAAAACCAGTTAAGAATGCTAGAAAGCATTTTCAGAAAAAAAACTTGAATAGCATTGAAAACCATACGTTTATATAATTATAGCGGCTATAGAGTAACATTTAAAAATTTAAAAAACGTCAAATATACATAAATTAAATATTGATATCAAATGACTCAGTATGACAAAATAAACTCAACTTTAGTCATGTACGGCATCAAATGACTCAGTATGACAAAATAAACTCAACTTTAGTTATGTACGGCATCAAATAACTCAGTATGACAAAATAAACTCAACTTTAGTTATGTACGGCATCAAATGACTCAGTATGACAAAATAAACTCAACTTTAGTCATGTACGGCATCAAATGACTCAGTATGACAAAATAAACTCAACTTTAGTTATGTACGGCATCAAATGACTCAGTATGACAAAATAAACTCAACTTTAGTCATGTACGGCATCAAATGACTCAGTATGACATAATATACTTAACTATAGTCATGCAGGATATCAAGTGACTTAGTATGACAAAATAAACTACTCATATGTGGTATCAAATGATTTAGTATAACAAAATAAACAACTATAATCATACTTTTTAAAAATTGATAATTTTGATCAATTATATCTTATTTTTGATGCTCTATACAATTCTAAACGTTAAAATTTTTACCTAAATTTTTTTACTTTGGCCGCCATTTTCTCTATGTTCCCGAAGAGATATCAAAATTTTAATGCATATTTATTATGTTTGTTTTTGATGCTTTATTCAAATCTATACTTTAAAAAAATTTTCTTAAAATTTTCTTTACTTTGGCCGCCATTTTCTCTATGTTCCCGAAGAGATATCGAAATTTTAATGAAACTTTTCAATACATTATTAGTAGTCCTCTAACCGAATCTGAAGTCAGAATTTCAAAATTCGCAAAAAAATATGCGACACACAGACAGACAGACAGACAGACTCAAAAAGCCATTATATATTTCAGTAAACAAAACTTTTCAAGTTTTTTTTGAAAATAATATATCATTAATATAAAACTATTTATTTATTTATTTTTATATAAACTCAAGGCCATCTATCATACAAAATTATTATTATTATAAAATTATTTTGAATAAAATTATTGTAATCTAAATGTTTTTTTTTAAAAAAAAGATTTTGTAATTTTAAATTTATTTAAAATGTTAATATTGTAATTTGAAGATAATTTTTTTTTTGAAGTATATTGTATCCAGGCAATAACAGCAATTTATTATCAAATATTATATAATTAATAATAATAAAAAATACAGTTAAATTACTTAATAATTACTTATTTAAAAAAAAACTATAATTAACAATTAATATTTAATTAAATTTATAAAATAACAAACTAGAGATTTTTTAATAATTTTTAAAATTATATTAAATTTAATAATTATTCAATTAATATGTTAAATATATAGTTTTAATATTCTTAAAATTATTTTATATATAAAGATAAAAATATATTTATGTAACTATAGCTGATATAAGTAGGAAAAAAAGTATATTATTAATGTAAAACTGTTGAAAAAAACATCAAGGACATCTAATAAATTTATTATTATAAAAAAATTTAATTTGAATAAAACTATTGTTATCTAAATATTTCTTTTATATAGATTTTTGTTATTTTGTAAAATTATTTAAATGAAAATATTGTAATTTGAAGATAATTTTTTTTTATATTTTAAGTATCTTGTATCCAGGCAATTTATAATCAATGACAGCTTGTCTTTTGGGAAGATAGCGCCACCTAAACGGTATAATATAAAAAATTGGTTGACACGTGTTTTTGATTGTTTACATATCAAACCCTTAACCTGTGATTTTCATCTAATTATCTCTAGTCGTGTATAAGATATAACCATTTAAAGAGGTCTGGTCAGAAGTTTTTCGGTGATACCAATGGAGTTATCGGAGGAACACAAACGTGTCATAATTTATTATGAGTTTTTGTCCACACAAGACCCAAACGAAATTCATCGTCGGATGATGGACAGGTTGGGCAATAATAGCCCTGCTTACAGTACAATCACCAAATGGATCCGACATTTCAAACTCGGTGTACAGTCATTTAAAGATGGCGAAAGAAAAGGTCCGGAAGTTACTGTATCGACYCCTGAAAATGTTGCCGCTGTCGAAAAGATAATAAGAGCAGATCCATGGATTACATACCGTGAGTTAGAGGAAAAGTCAGGCATTCATCGCACAACACTTCAAAAAATATGCACTGATTTGATTGGCGTACGGAAGCGTTTATGTCGGTTTGTTCCTCACTTTCTATCAGATGAGCAAAAACAACAACGTGTGAACATTTGCCGAGAAAATCTAAAGATGTGGAAGAATAAGGGACATGTTTTAATTGATAAGATCACTACAGGTGATGAAACATATGTTCATTATTATGAGCCAAAATTATCACGAGAAGCAAAGATATTTGTGTTTGAAGATGAGGTACCACCCGATATTGTCAAGCGAGATAAAACTATTGGAAAAGTTATGTATGCCGTATTTTTCAATACGGTAGGTTTGGTGGCCGCGGTAAAATTATGCGGACAGAAGACAGCCACGGCATTGTGGTACACCACACAATGTCTTCCTAAAGTCATTGAGGGGTCTGCTAAAAAAGGAATGCTGCTGCACCACGACAACAGCCGAGTTCATACTGCAAAACTGACTCAAGAGTTTTTGGCCAAAAATAATGTCAAGACTGTACCGCACCCGCCATATTCACCCGACCTTGCAATGTGTGACTTTTGTTTGTTTAGTGGTCTGAAGCATTTTCTTCGCGGACAAGCATTTAAGACAGAAGACGAGTTGGACTGCGCGGTGATGGAGTATTTTCACTCCATTTCTGAAGATCGCTATAAAAAAGCTTTCGAGATGTGGAGATCCCGAATGGAGCTATGCATCGAATTAGGAGGGGACTATATTTAAAAAATAAATTTTTTATTTACATAAATTACGTCTAGTTTTTTTTGTGCTACGTTAAAGTACGCTAAAGTATATTATTAATGTAAAACTGTTGAAAAAAACATCAAGGACATCTAATAAATTTATTATTATAAAAAAATTTAATTTGAATAAAACTATTGTTATCTAAATATTTCTTTTATATAGATTTTTGTTATTTTGTAAAATTATTTAAATGAAAATATTGTAATTTGAAGATAATTTTTTTTTATATTTTAAGTATCTTGTATCCAGGCAATTTATAATCAATGATTATATAACTAATAATAAAAAAAAATATTTTATGTAACTATATAACTGATAAGTATGAAAAATATCATAACATTAATGCATTACAATATTAGAAATTGATAAATAAAACATAATAATAATTTTTTGTTTAAAAATCTAAAAAAATTGTAGTTTTATTTTATTAATATAAAAATTATAAGAAAATAGAAATTTTTATATAAAATTTAAATAAAAATAATTTTTATTTTGTTTTTTCTATAAACAAAAAAAATGTCTTCAATTTTTAGATACCAACTATTAGTAGTAATAGTGGTTATCATAATTATTATAACTACCGGCGCCCGCAATAGTGATGATAATCATTGTATCAATGGGGGTCCAGTAGGCCTGAAAAGTGGTGTCCAGATATTTAAAGTAGATGACACTGGCGATTATAATAAAGATAATCCGAAACTAGTGACCAATTGGGCGGAAATTGAAAAAATATTTGCCGCTAATAAGTTAGTGGCCAACAATCCGATAAAATTGTTGGTCATATGCGGTCCACCCAGAATCGGTAAATCAACGTTTGCCAATCTATTGTATCTAAACAATGACCCGATCTATCTAATCAATACCAGTAATAATTATTATAATAACTTTGATTATGATAAAATTATTTATAAAATATTTGAAACATCCAGTAAACCCTATTTACCGAATACTAAAGGTGTTTGGATAACACCGGTTCCCATACCTGTTAGGGAACGACCCGATAGTGATATACTATACAATGTGTTTATTGTTGACATCGAGGGTATATTGGGTCCCAATTCCGATCAATTAATACATCAACAGTTATATGTGTTTCATTGATTATGTCCTCGCATTTTATCTATTATCTTAGGTAATAATAATAATAATAATAAAATATACTTAAATAATATTAATAAATAAAATTATTTATTAATTTTTTTTTGTAGACATCCTATCAATGAATATAACGAACAAATACTACAACTGTA